CCACGTTGACTTACCTGGCTAATGTCAAAGCAGACCTCCTGTTTCTGTAGGAGTGTGCGATACCACACCTCAGTAGCTACAGGAAATGGCTGAGCTTGCAGACCCACGGGCCTTTGATTTGGTCAGGGGGAAATGATAGCCACTCCTCTGGCCTGGGTATTCTGCGAGGCGGCAACTTCACTATCTCCAGAGTGAAGGAGTTGGTGGGTGGGCGCCTCCTTGTAGCAGACATTATGTACAAAAATGCTCCACTGAGACTAATTAATGTGTATACCCCGGTGGTAAAGAGTGAGCAGCTGGCCATCCTGCTGTAGCTCCCACTGCTGCTGGTGACGCCCAGGCTGCTCCTTCTGCTTTGGAGGGGGCAGGCCGTGCTCAAAATCTTGGGAGGAACGCATCACCAAGATGAGGCAGAAACTGGCCTTTTGGGAGCACTGATCCCTCTCCATTGTGAGTAGAAAACTAGTCAACAGGTGTGAGGTACTCTCTGTTGTTGTACATGCTGCAAGTCTGGCCCAATCCCCAGAACTGCGCTGTTGCAGTCACCTGAGCCAGCTTCCACTTCATCTGGAGATCTAAGATGGACTGTGTCTGCAAGGACTCCATGTACAAAACCCTGGATAAGGGGGTGAAGAATGTACCCAACTTCGTCCTCATCGTGATGGCCAGCTTTGTGTGCAGCTACATCAAGCTGTGTGTAGACCCTCGGTATGCAAACACCAGGTGTCACTACGTACTGAGGTTCTGCTTGTCCCTGGTGTTGTGAAGGATGGGACTAGCCTTGGTGCCACAGATCGCACCCATGTCGTTGGACCATTCCATATCACCTGTCTTTCATTGACAAATTTGAAAAGTAAAGCACCTTTGAACACAGGTCCATCAGGAAGTGATCAGTACGTAGCGTCCTCAAGATCCTGAGGGAAAAGGAGAGGGTAGATCTTGTCACGTGGTTCCCTGAGCAGACTGTCAAAATCATTTGGCAGAATGCCTCATCACCAGAACTTTCTAACAAGCACCAAGATATCGCTTGGCTTCTGGTGAAAAGGGCACTGCTTGTGGGATCCTTCATGTATGTTGGGTCAGTTTGTGCCACTACACGCTGCCTTCAAAGTGGCTGCAGGGGCATTGAGATTGTCTCACAGCTCTTTCTGGAATGTGCCTTTGCAAAGGAAGACTGAGGAAGATGCAGTGGTTTGTGTCAAGGTTCATCCCGAACAGCTCCGTGACGTCGGACTCTGTGCTGTATGGTCTTTTCCCCGGGGCACACACCGAGACAAACATCAACTGTGCCTGGAGAACTATCAACTCGGTGAAAGATCCTCTTTGGTCTTCCCAAAACTTGTTGCCCTCCCAGAATAAGAAGTTGACCCTGAATGTTGCAGACTGGCACATTCCAAGGTCCAGGACTATGTGCTGAGGGGCGCAGTAAAGCTTGGGGCAGCTGCCAAGGTGCAGTGGGGAAAGACCAATATTTGTGGTCTTCTTGCTAAAGGTAAATGGTGGGAGGGTGGAGTCTGTTCAGTTATCGGACCTTCCTCGTGCCTCAAATGATTGTAAATATTAGTATTGTTAGTGTAAGAGAGGTCTTTGATTCAAAAAGCCAAAGTCCAATTTTTTTTATTTACTTGATATGCAACTGTACAGAACTGAACTGCTTTTCTGACAATGTACATATACAGAGATTTTTTATGAATAAAGTGTATTTTTGTAAAAGAAAAACTTTTTCCCTCTGCCGATCACACCCATTTTTCTTCCCCCCGCCCCTGCCATGTCTTAAATCTGTCCATGTGTGTGTTTAGGCGTTCTTTATAAGAGGGTTATATTTTTAAATCGTGGAGTTATACGTTGATGGTTTATGTTTGTTTATCCATAGCTGGAACCTATTTATTTGTAATAAATAATAATATCTTCTTAAGTGCAGAAACCTGGTCTAGGCATTCTGTCAATCTGGGCCTGAAAGACAGCTAAATTGAGGAACGTTGTGTATTTTTTATAACATCTTTAACTTTTGTGACATGTCTGGGGGGTGGTGCTTGATTTCCAGCATGCTACCTGAATGAGGTATAGCACTTCCAGAAACTCTCAACATTTGATGGAAGACATTTTTCTACATCTCACTCCTGAATCTTGGTTTTCTTGTTGTGAGAATATAGAAATTATTTCCTAGCTCTCCAGCCACAAGCCACAGCCTGTCAATATATCTAATGAGCATGTTCTACTCACTCTGTCCTCAAAATCATCTTTCCTGCCTGAGGAATCAATCCACTGAATCTTTATCACATCCCCTAAGACAATTGGAAAACACCTTAGACAAATCTGCACACAGTACTTTATAATGCACCAAAACTTTCTTGCTGTTATAGTACAACTCCCTTACAAAAAAAGCTGGCGTGTTACTTGCTGACCCAATTGCTTGCTGTATCAAAACTTTCTGATTCATGTTCATGAATGCTCAAATGCGTTTGAATACCAATTTTCACCTTTTTCTCACCTTTCACCTCACTGCTTTAAAAGGTTTCTCACCTTTCTGCTTTTCTGTTGTTCCTTCCAAAAGAGACATTGACAAGTATAAGTTTATGATGAATGGAGATGGGAGGAAGCAAGACAGCCATACTTAAACTGTCAGCATCTTGTAAATTAGAACAGATTGTGGAATAAGAGATAGGTGAGATTTGAAAAGAAGTTAAGATTAGACCTCAGTGTAACTTCAGACTTGATGCGTTCAAACCCTCATTTGTGGCTGTGCCAATTCTGGAAACACCAAATCTCCAGGGGTGAGCATGTGTGACTGTCACAGATGAGGTGAAGAAGCCTACAACTGTCAACCACATTGTTCTGAAAGAGAAAGGAATGTGTCAGTGAGGGTGCTGCAATCTATATGGTTACTGATGCAGTCATAACTGAATAACCGAAAGTGTGCAAGTTGAGAGATATTCGTGTGAGGCTTGCAAAGGTGCTAAGTGCAAGGTTGAGGTGAAGCCTTGTCTTTAGTTCAGGTGGCAAATTCAAAATATGCTGGAAATACTCAAGTCACTCACTATGGAAACAGAATCATCAAAATGAAATGTTAACTCTATTTCTCTCCACAGATACTGCCTGATTTGCTGAGTATTTATAGCATTTCTGTTTTTATTTCGGATTTCCATCATCTTCAGTTGTGTTCTTTTAAGATATATGTCATTGAGATTATTGGGAGAAGCATAAAGTTGTTGTGGTGACCTGAGGCTAAGAACTCAGAGTACAATAGGACCTTGATCAAGATGGGCCAATGGGTGGAGGAGTGGCAGATGGAGTTTAATTTAGAGAAGTGTGAGGTGTTGCATTTTGGTAAAGTTAATCTGGGCCTGATTTATACATGTAATGGGAGGTGTTGCTGAACAAGGAGACTTTGAGGTGCAGGTTCATAGTTCCTTGGAGGTAGAATTGCAGGTAGAGAGGGTAGTGAAGAAGGCATTTAGTATGCTTGCCTTTATTGGTCAGTGCATTGAGTATAGGAGTTGGGAGGTCGTGTTGCAGCTGTACAGAACATTGGTTAGGCCACTTTTGGAATACTGCATGCAATCCTGGTCTCCCTGCTATAGGAAAGATGTTAAACTTGAAAGGGTGCAGAAAAGATTTACAAGGATGTTGCTGAGGTTGGAGGGTTTGAGCAAAAGGAGATACTTAATAGGCTGTGACTGTTTTTCCTGGAGTGTCAGAGGCTGAGGGGTGACCTTTATAGAGGTTTATAAAATCATGAGGGGCATGGATAAGGTCATATCTTTATAGATAATAAGAATCATAGCGTTGTACAGCGTGGAAACAGACCCTTTGGTCCAACTTGTCCATGCCGACCAGTTATGCTAAATTACTCCATTCCCATTTGCTAGCATTTTTTCTCAGGGTGAGGGAGTCCAAAACTAGGTTTAAGGTGAAAGGGGAAAGATATAAAAGCAACCTGAGAGGCAGCTTTTTCACACACAGGGTGGTGCGTGTATCGAATGAGCTGCCTGAGGAAATAGTGGAGGCTGGTACAATTACAACATTTAAAGGTGGACGGGTATATGAATAGGAAGGGTTTAGAGGGATATAGGCCAAATGCTGGCAAATGGGACTGGAGTAATTTAGCATAACTGGTCGGCATGGACAAGTTGGACCAAAGGGTCTGTTTCCACGCTGTACAACTCTATGATTCTTATTGTCTATAAAGATATGACATTTGAATTCACTGACCATGACCACTCCTGTAAGGTCTTCTTGGAACAACGCATCCAGAATCCTCAGTGCTATTCTGCTGCTATTGAACATTGATCTACTAGGTCCCACTGCCTTCACTGTGCCTGTCAGAATACTCCTGCTCCCTTGTGCATAGAACACTACTGTCCACGTATCCAACTCCTCTGTCAGGAACTCTACTATTCTGTTATGAACATGTGAATTGGCCATTTCGTCCCTTTGAGCCTGCTCTGCCATTTAATAATGTCATAGCGAATATGATCGTGGCCTCAACTCCACTTTCCTACCTACCTCTGATATCCTTTGTCTCCCTTGTTAGTCAACAATTTCTCCACCTCAGCCTTAAAAATATAGTGTTCAAGATATACTTTGGCGATCTTGGAACAGACTGTCTCCAATGTTGTTGCATTATTCAATGATTTATTTCTGTTTGACCAGTCTTCTCCAGTGGCTGACAGCACCAGTTCCAGTCAGAATACATGCCCCTTTAAGAGGTGTATGCTGACTTTAAATAATGTTGCTAAGTTTAAGTGGTGCTAGCCTGTCTCAGTGTTATGCTGTACTCAGGTGTGCAGCCACTCAGCAGTGTGGTTCATCCTGGTAGCACACCACAGTTATAGTCACGGTCTGACAGCATGAAATTGTGTGCTGCCTATATCATAGGAAACAAATGTAAGTTAATTGTGTATCATGATCCCATGTGTAATGTTGGACCTATCAAATGTCTTGTCATCGTACTTTTCAAACACATGAATGGTCATTGCCTTTTTTCATCATTCCTTCAGGATTCTTTACGACAAAAAGATGACCGGATTGAGGAATTAGAAGAGGCTTTAAGGGAGAGTGTACAGATAACAGCAGAACGTGAAATGGTATTAGCACAAGAAGAAGCTGCCAGAAACAATTCTGAGAAACAGGTCAGTAGTATGTGCAACCACCAGCCAATATAAAATTTTCATTTATATCAACACTTCTCTACCATCCGTATAAACCTTTCATCCTAAATGTGTTATGTGTTAACTTCATTTGCCTAGCTACTAGCTCCATCCCTCTCTCTCAACAGTGCAACATTAAGTTAGCCTTTTCACAACCTTGATTTTACATTTGATCCTGAGATGAATTACTAATCATGATTAATATCACTTATTTCCACCTGTGTAACGTCGCTCAAATTTGCATAACTCAGCTCATTTCCTATTGCTGTCAGCATCCATGCATTTGTGACCTCTAGGCTTAAGTATCCCAATACTCTCTTGGCTGAATGCCCTAATTCTACCTTCTGTAAACGTGAATTCATCCAAAATTCTGCTGCCTATGTCTTAATGCACAAATCCTGTTTATCATCTGAGCTCAACGACCTACTGGTCATTGGTCAAGTAACATCTTGACTTTAAACTTCTTATTGTCATTTTCTAATCACTTGGTGGCCTCGTCTGTCCCTACTTCTGTAACCTTCTCCAGCTCCAAAACTATCCAAAGTATCTCCACCCTCGCTTCTGTCCTCTTGTGCATTTCCAATTATAATTGCTCTACTATCACCATTACTATGTAACTATTTCATTTAATGGTCTCTAGTTATGGCCTTCCTTGCAAGAAAAAACATTCTCTTTGTAACCATTCTATCAAAACCTTGCATAATTTTCATGATCTCCATAATGTCACCCCTCAACTATTTTTTTGCCACGAGGAAAGAGACTAACCCTGTCCAACCTTTCCTGATACGTTTATATTGCATTTCAGATATCAACCTTGTAAATGTTTTAAAGCCTCTTCTCTCGGGGCTATAAATCTTTTTTGTAATTTGTGACCAGAATGAGGAATTGTATTTTAACATGATCCAACTGAGATCAATACAATTTTAAAGTGACATTTCAAACCTGTCCCTCTGGAAATAAACATTGGAGATTAGTTCGCTTTCTTTATAGCCTTGATAATGTGCAGCGTAACATTTAGTAACGGTATGTTTCTAATCTAAGAACTCTTTGTTTCTCTATCTCGCCCAAACTTGCACATTTCAATAAATGAGAGATCTCCGTATTCTTCATGCTAAAATGAGGTATCTGACATTTATTTGTGTTGGAAATCATTAGCCAATTATTTGCATATCTACAAGTTTATAAATGCCTGAGTGTAATTTGTAGCAATTCTCCTCTGTATTCACTATACCACTCAAATGGGTGTGATCCATAAACCTACAAATTTTCTTTTGAATTTTGAAAAAAGAAAAAGGAAGAAATGCTTGTATCTATATAGAGTTGCTTTTTCTATTCATTCGTGGGTGGTGAGCGTCGCTGGTTGGCCAGCATTTATTGTCCATCCCTTTCTGTTGAGAAGGTGGTGCTGAGTTGCTTTCTTGATCCACTGCAATCCATGTGCTGTTGGTTGACCCACAGCGCCCTTAAGGAGGGATGTCACAATCACCAAACATCTTGCAATCTTATAAATGATGAAGTATTTTTGAAATGCAGTCACCCTCTTATACAGAAAACATGACAGCTAATTTGCACCAGGTGAGGAATCCCCACAAATATCCCCGTTCTTAATGATGGGAAGCCTAGCAGATCGATGCAAAAGATCAGTCTGAAGCATTTGGAATCATCTTCTGCTAGAAGTGCCAAGTGGATGATCCATCTCAAACTCCACCTGAGGACCCCGACATGGCAGATGTCAGTTTCCAGCCAGTACAATTCACTCCATACACATGTCATGGAAAATCATTTTTCACAAACTTGATGGAGTTTTTTGAAGAGATGACCAAGAAGGTATATGAAGGCAGACCAGTAGACATTGTCTGTGGATGTTAGCAAGGTCTTCAACAAGGTTCTGCATGATAGGCTGATTAGTAAGGTTAGATCACATAGGATCCAGGGAGAGCTAGCTAATTGGATACAAAATTGACTTGAGGCCTGTTCCGCAGGGATCGATACTGAATCCACTTTTGTTTGACATTTATGTAAATGATTTGGATAAGAATATGGGAGGCATAATTAGTAAGTTTGTGGATGACACCAAAATTGGTGCTATAATGGACAATGATCAATTGGGTCAATGGGCTGAGAAATGACAGATGGAGTTTAATTTGGATAAATTCAAGGTATTGCATTTTCGGTAAAACAAACAAGGACAGGACTTGTACAATTAATGGTAGGGCCATTAATGGTAATATTGTAGAACAGAGAGACTTGGGGGTTCAGGTACATAATTCTTTGAAATTGGCATCAGAAATAGGGTGGTTAAGAAAGCGTTTAGCACCCTTATCTTCATTACTCAGATCTTTGAGTATAGGAGTTGGTATGTCATGTTGAGGTTGTACAGGACATTGGTGAGGGCTCTTCTGGAGTATTTTGTGCAGTTCTGGATTTACTAGGATGTAACTGAGACTGGAAGGTTTGAATTATAAGGAGAGGTTGGATCGGCTGGGAATTTTTTCACTGGAACATAGGAGGTTGAAGGGTGACCTTATAGGGGTTTATAAAATCATGAAGGGCATAGATAAGGTGAATAGCAAAGGTCTTTTCCCTAAGATGGGGGAGTTCAAAACTAGGGGCCTTATTTTTAAGGTAAGAGGAGTAAGAACTAAAAAGGATATGAGGGACAACCTTTTTATGCAGGGAGTGGTTAATGTGCGGAATGAACTGCCAGAGGAAGTGTTCGATACAGGTACAGTTGCAAAACTTAAAAGACGTTTCGTTAAGTACATGAATGGAAAAGGTTGGAGGGATATGGGCCAAATGCAGGCGGATGGGACTAGTTTAATTTGGGAACATGGTCGGCATGGACTAGTGAGACCGAAAGGCCTGTTTCCACGCTGTATGACTCTATGACTCAATGACTCTATTCTGAGGAGATTCTTATGGTGCAGTGTTAGTGTCCCTAAGGTAGAAGGCCTGGGTTCAAGTCCCACCTGCTGCAGTGTTATGTAAGAATATCATTGAAAGGGTTGATTTAAAAGATCTCCAAGGGGACTTGACTGGTTAGATGCTCAGAGGATATTTCCTTTCATGGGGTATCTTGAATTAGGCCTACCATTTAAAATGGAGAAGAGGTAGATTTCATTTTCTTATCTTTCATATTTTATGAATTAAAAGTCAAAACATCTGTCATATGTAAGATTCAAACTGGAGTCTGCAAATCCACAAAGTGAGTATAATTTATTCATGGTACTTTGGTTTACGTTATTTGACTACACTTTTATTTCTGCATCTGAATCACAGGCAAATTGAAATCTATTTGTTTGAGGACACAAATTTTGCAAGTTTCTGCATACTCTTTATTAATGAGGTGTTTATAATGATAAGCAGAATAGCAGAATCACTTTCCATGGTGTAATAATTTGTTTTGTTGTTAAAGCCACATGAAACATGGTTAGTGTTTATGCCAGTGAACCTTTTCATCTCAGCCTAACCAGCCATGGCAGAATTGTAGCAGAAAGATGGTATCACACTGTTGTCTCTACATGAGATACAACACATATAGTTAGCTCAGTTGTTTTGTTTAGTTAATTATATAATCAACTGCACAATAATTATATAATGAATACTGTATTTGTGTTGTGCATTAGTTGATAGGTATGGCTGTTGTGTTAAGACTTTGTGGTTAATTCTCATTCTCTATATTTTACTCTGAAAGTAGCACTAATATTAAACATCAATACAATTCTGGTCATTGATCATGTTTAGCGTTGTATATTGGATGTTATCTTTGTCTTTAAAAAGAGTGTGCTTATTATGGGTGTGTAGAGGGCTGAGTGACCATGGTTGTGTGGAGGGTTGTGCAGTCAGTTTCATAGTGTTATGAGTTTCAAGTTCCATATGCTTTGTGCTTCTGAAGAGAGATACATCTCTAATTTTGTGCTCTTTATAGAAATCTGGTAGGCTTTGCATTTGTGTACAGCAGTGTGCAGTGACAGTGTCAGTGATTGTGAAGTCAATGCACAAGTGGTATGGTGCATCTGCATCTGAGCATGCACACATACGGAACAGAAACGTACCAGGTCCAAGGCATGGACTGTCCTGAGTTACCTGAGCTCAATCAAGCTGTGATTGATCTCACCAATGCAGGGTTATGAATGGGAAATAAAGTGGGATTGCAGCAACTTAGCTTGCAATTAATTACTATTACAACAATGTAATTAAACCAAATGTCTAAAGGTCTACTGTCCTTACCTCTAAGCCAGGAGGTACAGAGTGCAGATCCCACTTGCTACAGAAGTGCGTCATAACATTGCTGAAAATGTTGATTAGAAAAGATTTTAAAAAGTCTAAGAGCGCACACAAACTATGGTTATTGAAATGATGTGTTATAGGATCTTCAATACCTGTGAAATTGTAACTAACCAACAACTAAACACTTTTAAAGGGTCTGGGGAGAATACTAGTAAGTAAAGAGAGAAGGGGAGAAGGAAATACTATTGAGAATTTTTAGTAAGTTGTGTGGAGCAGAATGTTATAGGGGTTTGAGCAACATAGGCTATGGCAAGATTTATGGCAGAATCGGGCTAGAAACCCAGCAAAGCTCATCTTGATGGCAGGTGCATCTTTTATGCTTTTCACAAGCAAGGTGTAGTGTTTCTCGTCAGCAGTGAGTTGTCAATTAAGATAGACTATTGCTTGTTAAATACCTTATTGATGGCCCAACTCACCTCATTAATATTCAGATTTCCAATTCACCAAACTCGCAAAACAAGCTAGACGTTGAGAAAAATCAAAATGGAAACCAGAGTGTGTACGTGGCAAATTCAACTCGTTACATGTTCTTATCGAACTCTATGTTGAACATTGGCATCAACATGTCAGGGCAGGCTCCATGGGCACCAGCCACATGTACCCACATCCATGAGCATTGACATCAGATCAGATATATACCAGATTCTCAGAACACTCATAGTACAACCCTCGTTCAATGTATTTCTGGTGAG